ATTTAGTGATATTCTACTTAGAATTGAAAGTTACTATAATGTCACTAAATTTTCAACTACCGCACCCTGCTCTAGTGAAAATTTATTAACTTCATAGTAACTTTTAATTTGAACTAGAATGTTACTAGATTTTCAACTACCGTACCCTGTTCTAATGAAAATTTAGTAACATTCTAGTTCAAATTAAAAGTTACTATGAAGTTAATAAATTTTCACTAGAGCAGGTAGTTAAAAATTTAGTGACATTATAGTAAATTTCAATTCTAAGTAGAATGTCACTAAATTTTTAACTACCGCACCCTACTTTAGTTTAAATTTAGGTTTAATTTCCATTGTCCCCACTCGACATTTGTCATATAATTCTCGTCAACTACCGTACCCTGCTCTGGTAAAATTTTAGTAACTTTCGTGTTAAAATTAAAAATTACTATAAAGTCACTAAAAATTTTACTAAAGCAGGGTGCGGTAGTTGACGAGAATTATGACAAATGTCGAGTGGGAATTTTGGCGAGTGGGGACAATGGAAACCAAACCTAAATTTAAACTAAAGCAGGGTGCGATAGTTGAAAATTTAGTGAAATTTTGTTAAAATTTAAAGTTACTATAAAGTCACTAAATTTTTTTATTGTAAGCTTTCTATTCGGTATTTTGACCGAAATCTTTCAATTGGGAGATTTTTCGCAAACTTTGACCCAAAATCGTCTTTTCATCAATTATTGTATATATATCCTCAATGCATTCAATCAAATGAAGCATTTTCTTTTCGATAGCAGTGACGCATGCTAATCGCATAGCTCAGTCCAATCGAGCTTCTAATAGAATGCGATAAATAGAGAGAAAGAGAGAGAGAGAGAGATTTTATTAGGGTTGGTTGTTGATTCCATTCCCCTCTTTTTCTCTCTTCATCATCATCAGCAGAAGCTTCTATTTTGATCCTGGGATTCTGTACTCTCTATATATATATATATATCTCCGAAAATGCTTCTCACTTTGGACTAGCGCGTTTTTCTCCTTTCCTTTCTCTATCAACGGTAACAATAACAGCACTCCCTTTCCTATATACCTTCTTTGGATTCCGCAGAGGGATACAAATTCTTGTCATGGGTATATATACGAGAAAAAGGGGGAACTGGTAATCCTCACCCTCGCACTGAAAAGGGGTCCAAAACACAGTTTACTCGACGGATCATCCCTCGTTATTGTTGCGTTTATGATAATAGTGTGCGCGCCCACCGTCTACCAGATCCTGAACTTATATATATATATATATATATATAGTTTCAACCCCACCGGTCAGGTAGCAATTAGTTCCAATAAAGAAAGGAAAAATTTTCTTGTTTTTCTATACGCACCTTTTATTCATATATACATTGAAAAAACATAAAAATTTTGAGGTTATTTTTTTGCTTTTTTAAAACAAGATTTTTCGTTTCTAAATTCTGAGAATCTTCTGGTTTGACGGAATTTTGAAAAGTCGTGTGACACTTTTATAATAATTTTATTAGTTCTTGGCGTATACTTTTTAAATTACGCCATGAACTAATAAAATTATTATACAAGTGTCACACGACTTTTCAAAAATTTGTCCAATCAAAGTTATTTGGCCAACCAAAGTTTTATCAAATCAAAGTTTTGTCCAATCAAAGTTTTGTCCAAGCAAAGTTTTGTCCAATTAAAATTTTGTTTAACCAAAGTATTATCAAATCAAAGTTTTGTCCAATTAAAGTTTTGTCCAACCAAAGTTTTATCAAATCAAAATTTTGTCCAATTCAAGTTTTGTCAAATCAAAATTTTGTCCAACTAAAGTTTTGTCCAATTAAAATTTTGTCCATTCCAAGTTTTGTTTAATTAAAGATTTGTCCAACCCAAAATTTGTCAAATTAAAGTTTTGTCCAATTAAAGTTTTGTCCAAACAAAGTTTTGTTCAATTAAGGTTTTGTCAAATCAAAATTTTGTCCAATCCAAAATTTGGTCCAATTAAAGTTTTGTCCAATCCAAAATTTGTCAAATTAAAGTTTTGTCCATTCCAAGTTTTGCCCAATCAAAGTTTTTGTCCAACCAAAGTTTTTGTCCAACCAAAGTTTTATCAAATCAAAGTTTTGTCCAATTAAAGTTTTGTCCAATCCAAAATTTGTTAAATTAAAATTTTGTCCAATTAAAGTTTTGTCCATTCCAAGTTTTGTTCAATTAAAGTTTTGTCCAACCCAAAATTTGTCAAATTAAAAGTTTGTTCAATTAAAGTTTTGTCCAATCAAAGTTTTTGTCTAACCAAAGTTTTATCAAATCAAAGTTTTGTCCAATAAAATTTTGTCCAATTAAAATTTTGTTTAACCAAAGTTTTATTAGATCAAAGTTTTGTCCAATTAAAGTTTTGTTCAACCAAAGTTTTATCAAATCAAAGTCAAAATTCCAAGTTTTGTTCAATTAAAGTTTTGTCCAACCCAAAATTTGTCAAATTAAAGTTTTGGTCAGTCAAAGTTTTTGTCCAATCAAAGTTTTGTCCAACCAAAGTTTTATCTTATTCATAACATTTTTTTTTTAACTTTTTCATAACCTTACATTTTTTCTGTTAAAAAACTGCTGCTCTAAGAAAATTCTAAAAAATTAAAATAAAAATTTTCATAAATTTATATATAAAATTTGCTCTTGAAATCTAACAAATTTTTAGATTATAGGTTCAAGTTTACCAAAATATTACAATAATTACGCGCCTTGAATCTAAGTTTTGCAATAAATTTTGAGGTTATGTTTTGCTAAACTCGCGATCTCTATGAAAGCAATTATTTTGTGCGGCCAATAATAATAATAATAATAATTGTAAATGGTGGGTGCGAGTTTTTGACGAAAGGCGTTGATGTCCCGTTGCCCTTTACGAGTTTGGACAATTCGTATTATTAGCATCGTGAACGTCGGTCATATTATGACGTTTCGTGATGCTGGCAAACATACGTGCTCCTCATCTCACGACGCATATGAACAAGACACGCGGCCGGCACGCTCCCATTCAACTTTAATATCATGTTGTACGTAATATACCTATATACAATGAGAAAGCAGTCTACAATTATTCTAAAGTTGTTCTCTCTTTCTATCTCTTTCTTTCCTTTTATTTTTTGTCCACAAACGATTATTCACTACGACTCTTTTTTTTCTGCTGCGATGTTTATGAACAGCAATTTGTCTTTTTTGACTCTTAATTGATTGCTTGTTTATTGCCTATCAGAAATAACCCTCAATTTTCTTTTTGATTGGATCACGTTTGATATGTATTTTACTTTTAAGCGCTTTACTATTTACTCTCTGCTACTGGCAGTGGTTAATTTTTGAAAGTCGATTTTTTTTATGAAAAAGTGGTTTAGGTTGGGAATTTTTACATTTCGGATGTTCTACACTGAGAATATGTCCAAAAGGTTGCCATTGTCACCGTTCGTTATTTGTCATAATTCTTGTCAACTACCGCACCCCTGGTCTAGTGAAAATTAAGTGATTTTATAGTAACTTTTAATTTGAACTAGAATGTCACTAGATTTTCAACTACCGTACCCTGCTCTAGTAAAATTTTAGTGACTTTATAGTAACTTTTAATTTTAACACAAAAGTCACTAAAATTTTATAGTAACTTTTAATTTGAACTAGAATGTCACTAGATTTTCAACTACCGTACCCTGCTCTAGTAAAATTTTAGTGACTTTATAGTAATTTTTAATTTTAACACAAAAGTCACTAAAATTTTACTATAGCAGGGTGCGGTAGTTGACGAGAATTATATGACAAATGTCGAGTGGGGACAATGGAAACCAAACCTAAATTTAAACTAAAGCAGGGTGCGGTAGTTAAAAATTTAGTGACATTCTACTTAGAATTGAAAGTTACTATAATGTCACTAAATTTTCAACTACCGCACCCTGCTCTAGTGAAAATTTATTAACTTCATAGTAACTTTTAATTTGAACTAGAATGTTACTAAATTTTCATTAGAACAGGGTACGATAGTTGAAAATCTAGTAACATTCTAGTTCAAATTAAAAGTTACTATGAAGTTAATAAATTTTCACTAGAGCAAGGTGCGGTAGTTGAAAATTTAGTGACATTATAGTAACTTTCAATTCTAAGTAGAATGTCACTAAATTTTTAACTACCGCACTCTGCTTTAGTGCAAATTAAGGGTTGGTTTCCATTGTCCCCACTTGCGAAAATTTCCACTCGCCATTTTTAGAATTTTCGTCAACTATCGCACCCTGCTCTAGTAAAATTTTAGTGACTTTCGTGTTAAAATTAAAAATTACTATAAATTCACTAAAATTTTACTAGAGCAGGGTGCGATAGTTGACGAGAATTATGAGTACTAAATTTTTAACTACCGCACCCTGATTTAGTGAAAAATTTAGTGACTTTATAGTAACTTTAAATTTTAACAAAATTTCACTAAATTTTCAACTACCGCACTCTGCTTTAGTGCAAATTTAGGTTTGGTTTCCATTGTCCCCACTCGACATTTGTCATAATTCTCGTCAACTACCGCACCCTGTTTTAGTAAAATTTTAGTGACTTTATAGTAATTTTTAATTTTAACACGACAGTTACTAAAATTAAAGTTTAAAGTTTTGTCCAACCAAAGTTTTATCAAATCAAAATTTTGTCCAATCAAAATTTTGTCCAACTAAAGTTTTGTCCATTCCAAGTTTTGTACAATCCAAAATTTTGTCTAATTAAAGTTTTGTCCAATTAAAATTTTGTCCAATCAAAGTTTTTGTCCAACCAAAGTTTTGTCCAATTAAAATTTTGTTTAACCAAAGTTTTATTAAATCAAAGTTTTGTCCAATTAAAGTTTTGTCCAACCAAAGTTTACTAGAGCAGGGTGCGGTAGTTGAAAATTTAGTATACCATACACCATGAACTAATAAAATTCTTATAGAGATGTCATTGTATTTTCAAAAATTTATGATTTCTTCATAACCTAAAAAAATAAAGGAAAAATTTTTTTTTTTTGTTAATTTCAGGCTATCAAAGTGGATACAGTTCCGGTTCATCTGGCGGTAGATATAATTCTCATTCCAGTAGTGACTCGAGACAACAACAACAACAACAACAACGCGATTATCAAAATTCAAATCAACATAATCGTCATGGCTATCAGACAAATCAAAATCGACAGGATTATCGAAATAATCCAAGCCAATCGGGTCATCAGAGTCAACAACGTGGTCAACAACAACTTCCAAATCCCTGGGCAAATAATTACAGTTCACAATCAAATAATAATCAACAGAATCGAGGACAAGGCCGTGGACCTTGGGAATCATCATTTTCAGTAAGTAGAATCTAAAAAAAATTATTTTATTTTTTATAATTATAATTTATAGGTTATGTTTATGATATTTTGGAGAGTAAAAATATACAAAATAATTTTCAATACAATTTATTGCTTATTATTATTATTATTATTATTATTATTATTATTATTAATCTATTAATTTAAAAATATTTAATGAAAACTGACATTGATTTTCTTTATAATTAAAAAGCAACTTTTAATCCAGATAAAACTATCATAAACATAACCTATATTTTTTTTTGCTTTTTGTAAGAAGCAAAAAATTATAGGTTATGTTTATGATAGTTTGAAATGAAAATATAAATAAAGGGAATTAACTATCATAAACATAACCTATTTTTTTTTTTTTGCTTTTTGTAAGAAACAAAAAATTGTAGGTTATGTTTATGATATAGTTAATTTCCTTTGTTTATAGTTTCATTTCAAACTATCATAAACATAACCTATAATTTTTTGCTTCTTACAAAAAGCAAAAAAAATATAGGTTATGTTTATGATAGTTAATTTCCTTTATTTATATTTTCATTTCAAACTATCATAAACATAACCTATATTTTTTTTTGCTTTTTACAAGAAGCAAAAAATTGTAGGTTATATTTATGATATAGTTAATTTCCTTTATTTATATTTTCATTTCAAACTATCATAAACATAACCTATAATTTTTTGCGTTTTATAAGAAAAAATTATAGGTTATGTTTAATTATGTTATGTTATGTTTTCTTATAAAACGCAAAAAATTATAGGTTATGTTTATGATAGTTTGAAATGAAAATATAAATAAAGGAAATTAACTATCATAAACATAACCTATTTTTTTTTTTTTTTTGCTTTTTGTAAGAAGCAAAAAATTGTAGGTTATGTTTTATGATAGTTTGAAGTGAAAATATAAATAAAAAAAATTAACTATCATAAACATAACCTATAAAAAGAAATAAAAAATCTAATAAAAACGAAATTAGAGTGGATTTTTCAATTTTTTTTTTCAGAATCGATCAAATAATTATCAATATGGAAGGGGTGGTAACAACAATTCAGGAGGCTATAGACGAAGATAAGCCAATAATAATAATAATATTTTTTTTTTGTTTTCAAATATTTTTGGCGTGCAATTTTTATTTACAACAATTGAATTTCAAGTATATGAAGTTATTCCTTATATATTATATAAATATATATATAGTCCGAGAGAGTGACTATAATATTTAAAAAAATCAAATGTAACTATTGAATTAATTGCATAATTTTTTTTTTTTTTTTAATTATTTTTGATTAAAAATTTACATTCGTCCGAGAATATTAAATTTTCTCTCGGTAACTATATATGTAGATATATTTACATATACATATATATAAAATATTATTTTTTGATACTTTTATTTTAGAATAATATTCGATCTATATAAGTATCTTGCAAAAAAAAAAATTTATTATTATTTATATAAACAATCAAATATGAAAGTTGTAAATATTTGTGAATTGTAATCACATTTTTTTTTTCAATTTTCTCTATATACAAAATCCACTCTATTTTTTTCTAATAATTAAAAATTTACATATCTATATAGAAGTGAATAAAGAAACAAGTTCTTTAGGAAAATATTAGACGTAGTATTAATTGCATAATAAAAAAGTCATTTTTTTCTTAAAAAAAAAAAATGTTATTTAGTGAAGATAATTAATTAATTATTAGTAATTTAAAATCATTTTTAGTTTAAAAATAAGTACTTTTAGAAAAAAAAAAAAATAGAGTGGATGAATTATTATTTTCATTTATATCATTGACTGAAGATATTTTTTACTCCGTTTTGAGTTGCACGTTAAATCATTTGTCAGATATAAGTTAAAATTATATAATATGTCTCTGATTCGAGAAGGAAAAATGAAAGAAAGAGGAAAAAAAATAAAAGAAAAACTTGTCATCAGGAAAATTGGTGTTTATTTTTAAACAAATTCTAAAAAAAAAAAATTCCATTTCGACTATTTTCAAAATATTTTTATACTCTGAATTAGTAAAAAAATTTTAATTAATTTTAAATTAACAGACGGAAAAAAATTTTTTTACCTGGAACAGCGATATACATTCACTAAAACAGTGAAAGTTTTTGCTATTTTAGAGAAATATATCGCTGTTTCAGGTAAAGATTTTTTTCCGTCTGTTTTTTTTAATATTAAATTTGATATTAATTTCCGTAGTTTTAATTGAGGAATTGTTAAAATGACCAGATTGTCTCTCACTCTTTTTTTTTTTTTTTTTCTTTTCTTTTTTGAGTTCGTGCACATCTGGTAGCAGAGAGCAAGCCAGCGAGCATTGAACCAGAGAGTGCCACTTGAGAAAATAATAGCGAGCTGTGCTCTTGTTCTCTCCTCTCTTTCTCTCTCTCTCTCTCCCTTCGTTCTTCTTTTCTCTCTTTTTTTTGCCTTTCTTTCTTTCTCGCTCCATCGTCACCCCGAAATATGGAACCTATACGTCCGCATCCTACCGTGAGATAAGAGCACTACTACGTGAGAAGAGAAAGGCAAAAATTGTGCTAAAATTCAATTTCTCAATTTTATTTTTTCAATATCTCCGCAGGTATATATATATATATTGAAGATACTTTTCTTCTTTTTCTTTCTTTTATTCAAAATATTTTTACATTAAAAAAAGATTTTCTTTTTTTTTTGGTAGTTGGCATTTTGGAAGTTTTGGGTTTATGACTAATTTTTGAAGAAAGGGAGCTAAAAAAAATTATAGGTTATGTTTATGATACACAGAAATTTTTTTTTTTACCTGGAACAGCGAAATGTTTCACTAAAATAGCGAAAGTTTTTGCTATTCTAGAGAAACAATTCGCTATTTCAGTGAAACTTTTCGCTGTTCTAGGTGAAATTTTTTTTGTCCGTGTATCATAAACATAACCTATAATTTTTATTTTTTAGCTCCCTCTTTTTTCAATGCAAAAGAACCTCCGAAATGTGACACTTCCGATAAGTATACTAATTTCTACACACAAAAAAAATAATTGTCACATTTTAGAGGTTCCACTCAACATTGAGTAATCTCACCACTTGGACCGTATATTCGGGTAAAAAATTGCAATTTTCGTAAAAAAACATATTTTACATTAAAAAAAATTTTATAGTCACGCGTAAAAACCTTGACAAAATATAATTGTCCACAATGTGGACAAGGAATTAACACAATAGAATATATATACAATGATGAGCGACCCAACCGTGTTATATCAATAATTAAAATAAAAATCACAACATTTAAGTGTTACAAGAATGACGAGACAAATTTTTGATAGAAATGGAAAGAACAAAAAAAAAAAAAATTATTTTAGAAATTCAAAAGGAATTTTGATGTCATCATATGGGTGGTCTAGTGTTTTTTTTTCTTTGCTTTCTCTTCTTGTTTCAGACGATGCTGAGTAGCAGAGAGAGCAGTGAGTATAATTTTGCCCCCTTCCTCGCCACCCCCCTTCAGCCCCTAGACATCAGAGACTCCCAAGTCATGGTAGACGCGTACGTCGTTACCACGTCGTAGGAGGTGGGCTCAGACACTGGGATGACACAGCACCAGCTTCTGGCTACCTCTGCGGCCCATTGTTCTCCCCGCATTTCTTCTCTGAGGCTCGTGCTCAAGTGCTCAATCGCAACCCTAACCTCTTCGCGCGGGACAATCCCCTTGTTGGCATTTTTTAACCACGTTACATGAATATATATATATATACACCTTCACATTGTGCGCAGATAATAGTAATATATAACTAGTAATAGTTAGTAATATATAACTAGAACAAAGAAACCTCTGGAATTTGACACTAACTTTAGGGCGAATTCACATGGAAACGTAAAGTTTCAAATTTTTCAACTAGAAAATGAGTGTGAGGAGAAAAAACGTTTACCTTTTTCTCTTTTATACTCATGGTCTAGTTACAAAATTTGACGTCTTACACCTTCATGTGAATGCACCTTAAGTTTAGTGTCACAATTCAGAGGTTCCCTTGTACTATTACTACTAGCTATTTATTACTATTACTATAGTTATTTATTACCACTATTAGTTATTTATTACCATTAATAGTTATTTATTACTATTACTAGTTATTTATTACTATTAATACTTATATATTACTAACTATGGCTAGGGGATTAGAATTAAAAAATTCCTCATCGTAGGTGTCACATTTCAAATGTTTCACTCTATATGTCTATTATTATTCATCATTAATATAAAACAAATCCTTTCTATTCCCAATTCAGTTTAGGTCATGTAACCAATTTTTTTTTTGGAAAAAATTTTTTTATGTTTAATAAAATTAATAATTACAAGATTAGAAGCTAATTGTAATTTTAAAGAAAATATGTAAACGCGATAATAAATATGAGACATTTATAAGAATTGTTTGTGTAAGTTTAAAAAAATAAATATATCATTGTAAAAGGCTTGTAAAGCCCACGACGTTGGATGGTTGAATCGTGAAGTGGAAGCAAAGAGAGCTCTTGTACACCCTTGAAGAAGAAGGTCCAGGTGTAGCTGGTACCCTATCTTTATATATATATACATGAACAGAATGTGCCCTATAGTCCTATACTCTATATATATATATATATATTCCAAGTACTATAAGTACTTAGAAAACTCTACTCACCTTTACATGACTCTTTTTCACTCTTTGACTTTACTCGTTCTTCTTTCTTTTTTACCCTCCCTTATCGAAAAATATCTCGATTTGTTTTTCATTAATTACAATAAATTTCACTTTTTAGAAGTTAAAAAAATTAAAAAAAAGGATAAAAAAATAACTATGTGACACTCTCTGAAGAAAAGGAGATAAACAGTAAAAAAAATTATAGGTTATGTTTATGATAGTTTGATGTGAAAAATCAAAAACATAACCTATAGTTCGTCCTTTTTTCAGGTAGCGTCACATACAGTGAAACCCAGGAATATCAGATTTCAAGGGACCGATATTCGTGGATTTCTTTGTATTAAATTAGATTTTAATCCTTAAAATAGCAGTTTTTTAACAAATAATAAAAAAACTCTCTCTTATAATTGTTTCAATATTAAAATAAATGAATATTATTCTTTGTAATGTACGATTAAAAAATAGAATTTTATTTGTCACTTAAAAATCTACCTTACCAATTGATGGTAAAGAAATTTTTTGAAAAATGAAAATATAAAAAATAACCGACATAGAAATCTATCATACCGACTGATGGTGAAACAGTCTTTTTTGAAAAATGAAAATATAAAAAATTACCGACATAGAAATCTACCATACCGACTGATGGTAAAGAATTTTTTTTTGAAAAATGAAAATATAAAAACTTACCGACATAGGAATCTACCTTACCGACTGATGGTAAAACAGTTTTTTGAAAAATGATAATATAAAAAATTACCGACATAGGAATCTACATTACCGACTGATGGTAAAACAGTTTTTTGAAAAATGAAAATATAAAAAATTACCGACATAGGAATCTACCATACCGACTGATGGTAAAGAAATTTTTTGAAAAATGAAAATATAAAAAATTACCGACATAGGAATCTACTTTACCGACTGATGGTAAAACAGTTTTTTGAAAAATGATAATATAAAAATTACCGACATAGGAATCTACTTTACCGACTGATGGTAAAACAGTTTTTTGAAAAATGATAATATAAAAATTACCGACATAGGAATCTACCTTACCGACTGATGGTAAAGAAATTTTTTGAAAAATGAAAATATAAAAAATTACCGACATAGGAATCTACATTACCGACTGATGGTAAAACAGTTTTTTGAAAAATGAAAATATAAAAAATTACCGACATAGGAATCTACCTTACCGACTGATGGTAAAACAGTTTTTTGAAAAATAAAAATATAAAAAATTACCATCAGTCGGTAAGGTAGATTCCTATGTCGGTAATTTTTTATATTTTCATTTTTCAAAAAACTGTTTTACCATCAGTCGGTAATGTAGATTCCTATGTCGGTAATTTTTTATATTTTCATTTTTCAAAAAATTTCTTTACCATCAGTCGGTAATGTAGATTCCTATGTCGGTAATTTTTTATATTTTCATTTTTCAAAAAATTTCTTTACCATCAGTCGGTAAGGTAGATTTCTATGTCGGTAATTTTTATATTATCATTTTTCAAAAAACTGTTTTACCATCAGTCGGTAAAGTAGATTCCTAT